CAAATTATGGTCCATATGATTATTTTAGAAACACTAGGTCCAGGTTTCAGAGACCTAAAATATCATGCACATTAAAGTGTACCCATTTTATTCTGAATAAAAAAATAAATAAGAAAAGAAAGGGTTAATGAACAAAAGTGATCAATAGATCCAAATCACAGGAACTTGAATGATACATAAAAAAATTCATGGAATGAGAAATAAGCGTAACATGAAAATCTCATTATTTCCTGTAATATTAAAATGAAATAATTTTAATGTAAAAGTTGAAGAAATGACACATTCAAAAGCAGATGCACTCAGTTAAATATGGAAAGTACAAGTTACAAAAGAGCTATCAATGTCAGAATAACCCTAGGGTTTATACTTTTTTCCTTAATCAGTAGAGAATTCATTGAACAGCTAGACCTTTCTATCCCATTTCTTGTTCCAAGGCTACTGTTCCCTTGTTGAATTTTTGCCTAGCTGACCTATACAGTAGTGCCAGACGAAAGTTAAAGTTTCCTCTACTATGCTGCTGTCAAAATATTTCTTCATATCCATTATCAATTGTTTCATATATTTTTATGATGCATTATTCGGTGCCAATATGTTTAGGAGTTTGATTAAGAAATGAGCAATGCTGTCTCTTATTTGTCTTTTTTAATTTGAAGCTATGTTGTCTGATAAAAAAAAAAAAGGCCACCCCAGACATTTAAAAGGAATTGTTTGCCTGTAAAGATTTCTTTCTAGGGGCTGGAGCAATAGCACAGCAGGTAGGGCATTTGTCTTGCACGTGGCCAACCCAGGTTCGATTCCCAGCATCCCATATGGTCCCCTGAGCATCACCAGGGATAATTACTGAGTGCAGAGCCAGGAGTAACCCCTGTACATTGCTAGGTGTGACCCAGAAAGCAAAAAAGAAAGAAAGAAAGAAAGAAAGAAAGAAAGAAAGAAAGAAAGAAAGAAAGAAAGGAAAAGATATTTTTCCAGCCTTTGACTCTGAGCCTGTGTGTACCCTGACTTTTCAGATACGATTCTTGTAGACAACAGAAAGTTGGGTTCAGTTTCCTGATCCATCCTGCAACTCTGTGTTGCCTGATTGGGAGCTAAGGCTATTTAAATGGGGAGAAATTTATTAAGATGAAGTAGTTATAGTCTTCCTTTTGTAGAAGTTCTTATTTATTTTTGTGAATTTTATCTCTTTTAACTTTTAGTAAAACAAGACCGTTTTTATTGAAATTTACTTAGAAAGATGTGAGGGGAGAGAGAGATATATGTATTTAAGAGAGAACACAAGATTCTCCAGAGTCAAAAATAAGAAAGCAACGGAAAACAGAGACAAGCAAGTGAGAGAAGTGGGCTTGAAGGAAAGCCTGTGAAGTCTGTCTTATCTGTTTTGAAGAATCTCCTTGATGCTACTGGCAAAGCTGGTTTCAAGTTGAATAAACTTTATTTTTTTTCTATAATCTGAATGATAATCTAGCTAAATAGAGTATTCTCGATGGGTTATTATTTTCATTTCTAATTTTACTACACCCCACCATTGTCTTCTGGCCTATAGAGTTTCATCTGTAGATATCCCATGTGCACAGAGAATGGCGGTTCCTTTGTTGATAAGTTTTATATTTGATATTGTTGCTTTCAATACTCTTTCTGAGTGTGACTTTTGTTATATGATTATAATCAGTATTGCGGTTTTTCTGTTTGGGTCTACTTTGGCTGGGACACTTTAGCCTCCTTAATCTAGATGTATGCACTCCTCAACTTTAGAAAATTCTTATCTTGATTTCTTTGATTAGTGGTTATTCCTGGAATTCAACTTCCTATTCCTCAGAGACTTATTTGTATGTGACTCCTCTTGAACTAATACCATAGTTCTCCACTGTGTTGTTCATCTTTGTTCAAACATTTTTCAACTTTTTGTTGTTTTCTAGAGGGTTTTTTTTTTTTTTGCATCTCATCTTGGGACTCATTGATTTTTTTCCTAAACTGCTGTTCTGCTACTGAGGCCTTCAATTGAGCTAGTTTTTGTTTGTTTCACACCTCTGCTCTTCAGTTCTTTCACTCTTGATTATAGTGTTCTGATTTCCACCCATACTTTCATATGCTTTATTAACTATCTGTTACCAAATTCTATGTTAGTTCATTAAGCATCTTCCTCTTGCCATCTCTGAAGTCATTATCTCAAAGGTAACTGGTTAGTACTAGTAGTGCCTTCCATGCTATAATCTTTGCTTAGTGGGCTTATATGCCATTTCTCCATTGTGTCTTTTAGGCTCTGAAGAGGGATTAGTCTGATTGTTGTTCAGGATATAGGAAGGGTCCTCTGTAAGTGGCATTTTGCTATTTCTTGCTTGTGATTATTGAAATTTGGTGTGGATTGTGGCCCTGCCTTCCTATAACTAAAGGACATATGATTTCTGATCACTGTCACTGCCTTAGTGTGGGTGATTTTCTTTGGAATAAGCGGACAGAGATAGATGTAAGGTATTACTCACAAGCATAAATCCTTGAAGGCAACCAGAGCTATTCCTGAGCCTGTGACCTCACTGAAGAAGGTTTGAGCAGTGTGGTGTAATGAGTAGAACTTTGGTGGTCAGACAGTTCAGGATACAAGCATTTGGTAGTGAAATTACGGGTATGAGTGTGTATGTGTGTTCACAGAACTCAGAGAGTGGGCATGGAGACTGCTGGGACCAAGCAGATAGGGAAAGGAATCTATTTCTAATTCCTAAAAGGCCCTGAAGATATTAACTAGGATATCAACATCATCTGTAGAATGAACAAGCAATCAGAGGTTCTTGAGTAGATTGTTGTTAACTAGACACAGTTCATTCTCTGAAAAAACACATAAATTAAGGGAATGGTTCTCAGAATATAATTTGAGAATCACATGCTAGAAATTAGGAAAGGTGCCCTTTAGCTTCTGAGTCCAACTCTTATTCATAACTTGATGCAGTCGATCAGATAACCCAGAAAAATGCACCCTTGAATATCATGTCACAATCCAGATACACAGACTTAACTGTTAAGGAAATCTTATTTTAGTAATGAGTGATAAGTTTCTTATTAAATCTTATAATCAGAGTTCAAATGCATTAATGGTATATAAGCTTTAAAGATGTCACAACTGAGTATAATGTCGGAATAACAGATACCTAAAGAACAATGTAAGCTAAGAACATGAGAACTCATGTAATAAGAACCATGCCACTTGAAGAATCTGGAAGATAGGATAGGGAGGGGGCAACATCTATGGGGAAGGTGATTCTGAAAGGTGCTAAATGTTATATATGACACCTTATCAGAAACATCACTGTAAACCAAATTGCAAAAACATATTAAAAAGAAGAACTTCTTGTAAAAGCAAACTTGTGGGTCGGAGGCAAATCAGATTGGGGAGAGGACACTGATGGAGGGAAGTGGACACTGCAAAAGGATTGATGTAGAAACATTACCTAATCATGAATAACTTTGCAATTTCACAGTAATTAAGTTTATTTTAAATTTTTAAACAAAAATTTAAGATGTCAACACTCTTGCAATGAATGGTCCAAAGATAGTTTCAGGTTCAAACACTGGTGTGTTCCAGATATTAATTGCAAAATGCTGAAAAATAAAGTAATGAAAACCAGTGGCCACGGATCCCAGAGAAAAGAAAATTGCTCTGACAATGTCAACATCAAATTCTCCATGTTGAAGACAAATGAACTAAATGTGCAAGTCAAAGTCCTAGGGAGTCCTAGGAACCCTTCTTAACTATAGAGAGATATTCATGAAGTGAAGGAGATGAGAAAGGGGATCTTGTTTCAAATCTTGAAGCTTTTTCTTGCTGGCTTGTGCAAGTTGGCTTCACAACAGGACAGGAGAAATGTGAAATTGAGGCTTACAGGAGGTAAATGACATGAGCTGATTTGTGTTTCTAGAAGTTTGGGAAACAATGTGCTGTAAATTAGAATAAATAACAGAGAGAATGACTGTATAGAGGGTCTCTATTATTATTCCATTTCAGATAAGAGAAGGTAGAAATTTTGAAACATTTTATATTAAATAACAATAAATTTTGAAACATTTTATATTAAATAACAATAAATGGGTAATACATACTAGTGCTAATTAAATGTCTGACAATGTTTAGTCTGCACCGAATATGGTAGGAATATTTGGGTAAAGGATTTTAAGAAAATGTCCATGGGATCGGCTCGGTTGCTAAAAGTGCTTGCTTGGTAGGTATAAGATTTTCAAGTTCAAATCCCTAGCTGCCACATGTGTCAAGGCACACTTGATAGTTCCACAATTCAAGATCCACTATGAGGGGGAAAAAATGAGAGAAAACACATGAAGAGTTTTACTCAGATTTATGTTAGTTTCAGTGTCAGAAATAGATTGATATTTCTTCTTCTTCTAGATTCATTTTGTCAAAGATTCTAAAATTCTATTCATTTATTTAATACCTATAATTTGTGAAGCAGAGGGTAAAAATAATGTGAAATAAGTAGTAATAATATCAAGTGAATTACTTCTCTCCTAAAATAGATCACAATCAAAAGAAATACTATTTGTAATATTTACAATAGATTCACAGAAGATACAAGTCTACAGGACAATCATAATCTGAGTAACTTCCCTTTGCTCTGTGTGTGTGTGTGTGTGTGTGTGTGTGTGTGTGTGTGTAGGTTCAAATACAAACTGATGATTATCACAAATATCAGCCTATTTGTGACTTGAAAGATTGTTCATTTTGGGAAGAGGGAACTCTTCTATATCATTCGTTATCCCTTTTCTTTGTCTTAATGTAAGCTCTGAAGGAACAGAAGGAGATTAGTGTTATTTTTTTTCTGCCCTTTTCCGAAACCTACTAAGACTGCCAGTATTTTATTTTAATTATGAGATAAACTGTTTAATGCCATCAGATGCATTTCAAACAGTGATCTCCTCTTAGTATCCTCATTTATTCCCCTCTTCAACATATGAATTTGCTCTTCTGACTTTGCACATGACCTATCATTGCTTTTTAGGCCTTCTACAACTATCACGTTCTGGAATTACTTGAAATGTTGGTGACAGGAGGAATCAGTTCTCAGATGCAATCACATTTTTTTGATAAGGATAAGGAAAAGTTCCAGGGGCCAGTCCAAAGTAGTACAATTCTGACTGGAAGAATGAGGTGTAAGCTGGGGCTCCTGCCCTTGGAAGAAACCATTCTAGCAGACGTTCATGTAAGTGTTCTTTTTCCATTCCAGTGTCAACGCCTTTATCAACCTGAGTTTCTAAAAATGAACCATACAATTTAAATTTTTAGTAAGGCTAGGACACGGAAACAAGTTATTACAATAACAAAAAATAAGTACAATCTTATATCCAGATGATATTGTGTGTTTTCCAGTGCATTTCTCTTGCTACATTTATTCTTATAATTTCTGGAAGGCAGACAAAAGGTGTTATCATCATCATCATCATCATCATCATCATCCCTATATTCCTGATTTAAAAATATCCAAGTCAGGGTAAAAGCGATAATACATCAGGTAGGGCACTGACCTTGCATAAAGTTAACCCAGGTTCAATTCCTTCTTGGTACTGGGCTCACCAAGAGTCATCTCTGAGTACGGATCCAAGTATAATCCCTGAGCACTGCTGGTCATGACCCCTCAAAAAATAACAGAAGAAGAAATTTTAAATCAGCAGAGGCTTCTGGATGGTCATCAATAATTGTAATAGCTAAAATTTCCTGAGAATTTATCTTATTCTCAGTAAATATTGAGCCTGCCTGCTCCCCACCACAATTTATATGCCAGTAATACATGTATGTGTGTGTATATATGTGTGTATATATATAGACATTATTATTAATCCTGTTGATCATAAAAAGAAGCTGATGCCAGAACTACTTACAAGCTGAATACTTGGCTCAGATACATTGTTTACCAGTGGTAAAGCAGAAATATATCTGAGGTAAGCTCTGCTGATTTACTTTCTGTTGGATATTAACCCAAAGTGTTTTAGGCATCATCAGTGAATTGCCCCATTTCCTTCTTCCAGAGCTTCCAGAGAAACTTGTCATGCCCTTGCTAGCATTTTTAATTTAGTTACAGTTATCTTTTACATTTCTTTTGTATTTTACCTCTCATTGTCTCAGTTCCCCAAGTCAGTCTTGATGACTGTTTATCTATGTAAATGATAAACTTATAAGCCAAAACTTTCTGGTAATTCTAAACTTTGTATTTGTATTGCTTTGTATTTGTACCTGCTTTTCTATTTCCCCATAGCCATTTTATTATTTTTTATTTTTTTATTTTATAAAGTAGCTCACACTATTTGATTACATTTAATATTCAAACACCAATCCCACCACCATACACCTTCCCACCACCATATTTTGGGTATTATCATCGCATGCCCTAATCCCTGCCCCAAAGCAGAACTGAAATAATGTAATATTTCCCTCTAAGGTTGGTTGTCTCCTATTTTGAATCTCATCAAAGGTGGTGTGGTCTCTTGGAGTATGAGTAGAGTGTGTCCTATGAAGTGGTCCAGGAAAATGTTCTATATTTTACTATAGAGCAATGTTCTTTGGTTAAACATAGAAAGACCATTAATGCTATGCTCCTAATACTTGGGACTGATTGACTGAATTATCTACTCCTGGACACAATTATTTGGTAATGATTATTTGACTCAGGTTCCAGTTGCTATAGTTTCTAACACCCCAAAAGGAAGGTCCCACCGTGGGACTGGGATGGACCCAGGACGAGTGGCAAAGCTACCCTGGCATTGAAATGGGACACTATAGAAAGCATAAATGCATGATCTTGATGCAAGCTATTATAGCTTAGGAGACAAGACCCCCATGGGGAAGGACAAGCTGAACTTTCCTGAGCACTTAGTCTGGGATTTAAGGTACAAGCCTTTCCTGCTTTCAGAACCCAGAGAACCAAGTGTTGGTATCTGTGTCTCTTACTGTGTTTATCCAAACAACTGCAAGTATTGATAGCTTATACAACTAGAGGGAAAGATAAAAGCAATGTAGATGTCCCTAGGAGACATAGTGTCTTTTTGAGTTAATCTCCCCAAGAGAATTTTGTCCTCCAAATGTTTATCTATGTAAATGATCAATCACACCTATGTCCTTACCTCAAGCCCCTCAATCTGCTAGCAAATCTGCATTAAACTGGCCATTGTCACTATCAGGCTGTAGTCCCCTGTCTCCTTGTCTCTCTGTCACTCTGTTGGGGAGCCTGGGGAAGTGAGTATGTGGCTCTGGGCCACAGAACACACACACAGCATTGTAGTACCCCCCACATTTTTATTTTGTGAACTCACAACCCTCCACCTGAACCACTTCAGAAATCTAAAATGAGGCCAAAGGATATTGTGTTTTGAGTCCAAGAATCTGATCAAATGTAACCAATGGGAAATGTTTTTTATTAGCCCAATTGGCTACTGAACACTAGATTACAACAAGGGAGAAGATAGTCATTCCGGCAAATTCCAATAGGACACACTGGTATTTGGAAGCCAGAGTTCCTACTCTTGGTATGGGAAGGAGTAATCTCTTGATGAGCACTGCCACTTTGAAACTAGTTTCAATGAATATTTCGATAGGATATCCAGGAGCCATTACACGAAAGCATCTCTCATCATTTCAGAGGGCATGAGTAGAGATCACCTCATGACAGGCTGGCTCTTTCCTGTCTGTGGCTTGCATAGCCCAGCAGATGCTGCCAGGAAGGGTAAACCCTATGTTCTGTACTTCTGAATTATAGATGCAAACAACTTGCCAAACATTTCTCAGGATCTCTTGGTCCTTTTCCCACTCTGCATTCCTAGATTTCTTACCTAAAGTTAATTTATAGCTAATTCTATTGACACACAAATACCACTGTCAACTTGATCTTATAACAGAGGTGTTAATAGATTAATCAACAGTCCTTCCTTTCTGGCGTATCATTGGTTTAAAGTAAAAAAAAAAAGTTCCTGGAGTGCAGCTTCACATCTATATGTGCATAACCATTAAATTACCCAGTAATAAAGTTATAGTGTCCTCATAATGGTAATAGGACCTCCACTTCCGATCCCTACCCATTCTCTGTCTTTTTTCCCTCTGGTAACCACTAAGTTGGTTACACAGAGTTATTTTTTGCTGTCTTTTGGCAACTTCATGTCTATAATTATTTATATTCCATATATTAAATGACTAATTTTGCTTAATCACCCCATGTTGTATCTAACTTATTGAGAATGACACAGATACATCCCTTAAAATAGCTGAGTCCATTGGGATCATATTACAACTTCTTTATCTCCTCTTTCATTACTAGGTATTCAAGTTGAGTACATGTCTTAGCAAGTGTAAATAATACTGCTAAAAAGATAGAACTGCAAAAAAATCTGCATGTATGGGGAAATGGGGCTGAAGGTGAGGAAAGGGGAGGCATACCTCTCTATGCTCGGGGCTTATTTCTGTCTCTAAACTCAGGAATCACTCCTGGCAATGCTCTGAGGACTATAGGGATGCTGGGAATCTAACCCAATTATATCTAACCAATCTCACCCAGATCAGCCACATGCAATGCAAGATCCACTATTCCACTGTACTGTCTCTCTGATCCCAGTGCAAATATCATTTTTAAGTCGGTATAAACTTATTTGTTTTTTATTAAAAATTGTATAAACTTATTTTAAAACTAAACATTCAAATTGTTTTAAAATTGAGGTTTACAAAAGTCTAAATGTATAAGGAGTACAATGTTACCACACTGTGCCCAACAGGTTAACTAGACTCTTTCAACTCACTTATTCCACTTCTTTTTGAACTGCTCTGCTGTCAGAGTTTAAGAGTTTGTTTTCAACGGACATTGTCTATCCCCTTGCTTTGTTTCTTTATATGACACATACGAAAGAGACCATGTGGTATTGTCTTTCTCCTTCTTTTTCACTTAACATGACATCCTCTATCTCCATCTGTTTTGAAACAAAAGATTTCATCTTTTTTAATAACTGAATAGTATTCTGTTGTGTATATCTTGATCACTTGATCCCCGTTATTCATCGATTTACTCGAGCGGGTGCCATTAACGTCTCCATTCATCCCTGTTGAGTGCTAGCATAGCTCAATGGCATCTGTTCATTCTAGGAACGTGCAGAGTCTCAAACCGATCATTCAGGGTCTTGAGGAAGAAATATGACCATCTTGTAGGTGGGCGTCCACTCGATCTTTTGATGTCCCGTGGAATCCATTCAGTAATAGCTCTAGTCCAGCGGTTGTCTGTAAACCTCATTACATGTCCAGCACATCTGATTTTTGATGCCTTGGCAAATGAGACAGCGCCCCTGATTCTTGAGCGTTGACAGAGATCAGAACTCCGGATTCTATCTCTCATTTGAGTGAATCGTGATATTCCAAGCATAACTCTTTCGATTCCTCTTTAAGAGACCCGAATAGCGTTCGGGTGTATATTTGTCTATATACATACAATAATATGTATATATACATATACATATATATATACATATATATACATATATATACATACAGTAATTTTTTTCACCCATCTTTGCCATTGGACACTTGGATTGTATCTAATCTTGGCTATTGTAAATACCCCTATAGTTGACCATAAATGCTCACCAGTCATTTGTATTATGTATTCTTTAATAAACACCTAGGAGTAGAATTGCTGGGTCATGAGTTAGTTCTAATTTTAATATGTTGAGACATTTTCATTTTTTCCATACAGGTTGTACATACATTCCCCCCAAGACTGAATGGAACTTCTTTTTTTCCCTATGTCCCTGCCTACAATTGTTTTACTCGACCTTTTAAAACAAGCATCTCCTCCTGTCAACTCGACACCCATATTACAAAGTTCCAGTGGTTGCAGCTTAGATCTCAAATTTTCAGTGTTGTTGAGTCTGTGTTTTGGATATGTGGCTGTACTACTCACCATATCACCAATATAACTGAAACCCCGATGCCTGTTCACCCATTACTTCCTGTTTTCTTATTCCCCCATTGACTTCTTTCCTTCTTTGTTCTTTTTCTCTTTAAACACTTGGGTCCCCTCTGTTCTACAATACATTTCCTCATCCAGTATTTTATATACCATAGATAAATGAGATGATCCTGTGTTTGTCTTTCTTCTGGCTTACTTCACTCAGCATGTCTTCCAATTGCATCACGTTGCAGCAAATGGGCGTAATTTCATTGTTCCTTGCAGCTGGATAGTATTTCATTGTGCATCTATTCCATATCTTCATAATCGACTCATCTGTTGTTGGATACCTAGGTTGATTCCACATCTTTGCTATTGTAATGAGTGCAGCAATGATTAATGGTGTGAGTATGTCCTTCTGGGAGAGTATTTTTAGATCTTGAGGATGGTTGTTCAAAAGTGGGATTGTTGCGTTATATGGCAGTCCAATTCTAAGTTTACCGAGAACTCTCCAGACTGTTTTCCTCAGTATTGTATCAAACTACACTCCCATTAGCAGTGGAAGAGAGTTCTTTTTGCACCACATCCTCGCCAACACTGATTGTTCCTGTTATTTTTTTTGATATGTGTCATTCTCACTAGTCTGGGATGGTATCTTATTGTTAACCTGATTTGGATTTCTCTTATGATAAGTGATGCTAAGCATTTTATTCATGTGTCTACTGGCCATATAGCTGTCTTCCTCTGAGAAGTGTCTATTCATTTTCTTGTCCCATCTTTTGATAGGTTTTTGAATTTTTTCTTTGCTGTTGATCTTTGTGAGTAGTTTATATATCCTGAACATAAAAGTCTTTATTTGATATGTTGAATACAAATATTATTTTTCCATTCAGTTAGGTGTCTTAGTTTTATTTCATGTCTCTTTTGCCATGCAGAAGCTCTTTAATTTTGTGTAGTTTCATTTTTTAAAAATTATTGTTGTGTTGCTTTTGCCAGCAGTACCAGATCATTGAAGATCACTTTGAAGCACAAATATTGAAATGTCATACCTATATTTTCCTCAATGTACTTCATAGTTTTTTTTCTAGTTTTCTTAACTACTCAAAGAAAACTTTTAATTTGATATAGTCCCATTTAGTTATTCTTGCTTTTATTTCTTTCGCCTTTGGAATGTATTTCAAATACATCCCTGAGGTCTAAATTTAAATGTGAATCTCTTGTGCTTTCTTCTACTGATGGTAAGGTTTTATATCATATACCCAAATTTTAAATTCTTTTGTGTATAGTGATAAATGGTGATCCTCTTTCTGCATGAGGTCATACAGCATCTCCAACATCATTTGTTGAAAAAAAGGTTCTTTCTCCCTCATACGTATTTGACTCCTTTGAAATAATTAAATGTGTGTATACATGTATACATGTATGAATATTTATGCTATTTCTATTCTCTTTATACTAGTTAATTTATATGTATGTTTCTTTGCCAGTGTCATGTTATTTTGATGACTTTTGCTTTGCAGTATAGTTTGAAGTTAGAGAACATGTTATTTCCATTGTTCTTTTCTTTCAGAATTGTTCTGGGTATACAAATTTTAAAATTGCTTGTTTTGTTTATTCTTAAAGTATGACTAGGATTTTTATAAGAATCATATTTACTCTAAAAATCTTCAGGTAATATAGGCATATTATCAATATTAATTCTTCCATGTCAATGAATGTGGATATATTTCCAGTATTTTATAGAATAATAACTGTTACTGTCCTCCCATCGTTCATCGATTTGCTCGAGCGGGCCCAGTAATGTCTCCATTGGAGACTTTGTTGTTACTGTGTTTGGCATATCGAATACATCACGGGTAGCTTGCCAGGCTCTACCATGTGGGCGAGATACTCTCAGTAGCTTGCCGGGCTCTCCAAGAGGGGCGGAAGAATCGGCCATGTTGGCTGCGTGCAAGGCAAACACCCTACCGCTTATTAAAATAATGTTTTATAATTTTCCACAGTATGTTTAGACCTTATTAGGAAATTTGATAATTTATTGATGCATTTAGGTTTTTATAAATGAAGTTGCTTTCTAAAAGACCCTTTCCTCTAATACATTGTCTGCATGTAACACCCTTCTTCTGTTCTTTTTTTATGATTCAATACATTTTATTGTTTTAAATTGAACTTTCAGTTATATGCATCTGAAAACTAGGGTGGATTCTTCCAACAAAACAGTATTCTTCCAACCAAAACAATTTGTTCTACAAATATCTCTTCATACTTGCTGATTTATAAACCTGAAATTGCTTTATCTTTCCCATAACAAAGAATCTTTAAAAGATGATGTTATGCCACTTCTCCCATATTTGAACTAAATTATAAAAATTTACATTCATTGCATTTTCTTTCATCATCTGTTTATTCAAAGTTTTTACAGTAGGCTTTGTCTTGAATATGTAAGACCATTCGCTGAGCATAGAAGTCTCTGTATTCCTCTGGTAATTCAGCCAGTGTTTTTAAGGTTCTACCCAAAATTTGTGCAGCTCTGCTGTAGGATCTTTGTTTCCATAAGTATCTATTTTGCCACAGCATTCAGAAGGAAGGTGCTTCCAAGAGACATTCACTCCCATTTCGAATTCCTCAGAAATTACATTATTGAACCATAAAGCTGTGGGGCAGATGAATTTCACATTACTCTCTCTCTCTACATTGATCACAATCAATATTTTGACATCAGACCCACCATTATTATTTGTGATTTTACCCCAACACTCAGATCTGTGGGGGTCTGGATGCATTTCTGCCAAAAGCCACTGGGTTCCGAGATTTGTTTTTGAGTCTCTTGGATCATGGCCATTAAGCAACTTGATCAGGAGCCAGAGAGGCTGTTTGTGGGCGATGACTTGGGATCTTGTTGGGGTGGGGAGGAAAGGGCCGGCTCCACTCCCATCCCGTGAGACCCCACATGTCTCATCACTGCGGGCCAAAACCTGACTGTCCAATGGCCTCTGGTGGATGGTGGCCACTGAGCTGCCAAGGGGGAGTAGGCAGAGGGACAGCACCCTTCCCCTTCCCCCCGGGATGGCCTGGCGACAGTAACCTACTGCATGGTCCAGATGCATTTTAGCCAAAAGTTCTTGAGTTTCGAGATTTGTTTCTGAGTCTCTGGGATCATGGCTATTAAGCCATGATCAGGAACCAGAGAGGTCATGCCTCCAATTATATAGCTGAGACGAAGGTGGTTTGTGAGTGTGTCTCCCACGTGCCTAACTTTTGGCCGTTTGCTTTCTTGGTAAACTTTGCCCCAAGTTTTTGGGGTCTCCAAAGGCACAGCAGCAATTTTGGGGTATCTGGAGCTCCGAAGGTGCTATCAGACTGCTGAAGCACTCGCCTCACAGGTACAGATTGACCTACTGAAGGCACCATACCCCCCAAAAAAGCCTTCTTCTTTTCTGGTTTGGATTATTATTATATCTGTTTCTTGCTTGATTATTCTATCTAGAACTTTAAATATTATGTTGAAAATTGTAGTGTGAGGGAACATCGTTTTCTGATCATAGGGAAGAAGTTTTCAATTTTCACCCTTGAATATAATGTCACCTGTGGTTTTGTGTACATTGATTTTATTGTGTTGAGATGTGTTTTATCTACTCCTAATTTATTGTGAGCTTCAATTAAAAATAGGTATTAAATATTGTGAAATAATTATCAGTGTCTGTTAATATGATCATATAATTTTATGATTTTTATTTGACCTATTATAAACTTTCTTCCTAGTTACATGTTAGAAGTTTCCTTAGATTACAATGATTTATATAGTTCTTTTAGGTTGTCCAATGTATTCACATATGAATATCAATAGTCTGTTATGATCTTTTGTACTCACACAATGTGTTATGAGTTTTTCTCCTTAATTCCAAATTCTTTCAATTAGAATTTTTCTTTTGGTCTTACTTAGTCTAGCAAAGATCTACTTATTTTTTTAAATCTTTTCAAAGAACCATCTCTTGCTTTTATCCATTTTTTATCCTTTATTTTCACTTTTATTTTATTTCCATTCTATTTCTTAGGACTTTACTCTTTCACTCTTTCTACTGGCTTTTGATTTGGTTTGTTCTTCCATTACTAGGCCTTTAGATATGATATTTGGTTGTTTACTTGAACCAGTTATTTTTGTTGGAGTAGACCATTAATAAAATATCACTTTTACTGCATACCATAAAATCTGCTCTTCTATTCTTCATCTTCATTGTCTCCAGATTTCAAAATTCAAAAGAAAAAATTATCTTGATTTCTCTGTTTTGTTAAATAACTACTTAGTTTCATACTGTTTAGTCTCATCTTTCACATTATAAGACAACTTTCCACCCATTTTCCACAATTACTACACCATATCTGATGGGGTTAAGATAGTAGGCAACAAATCATAGAGAAAATATATAAATATATGCATTTTGGAGAGCCCGGCAAGCTATGAAGAGTATCCCACCCGCATGGGAAGAGCCTGGCAAGCTCCCCGTAATGACAACAGGTCTCATTCACCTGACCCTGAAAGAGCCTCCAATCATTGGGAAAAGACAAGCAAGAAAAGGCTGCTAGAACCTCAGGGCCGGGAGGAATAAAGACATTACTGGTGCCCGTTCAAGTAATTTGACCATCAATATGATGACAGTGAAACAGTGATATGCCAGAGGAATCACAGAATTGAAAACACGGTACTCTGTAGTCCTTATCAAACCCATGTGTTGCTTTTTAATCTGTGGTCTGCCTATAGTGTTTTGGTCATCTCAAGTTCAATGGCCAGATCAAGATAAATGCTTGGGACAGCAATCTGTCACAGAATTGGATTAAAAAATCATTTTCTGGAGATGACTTCATATCCTGACTCAACTGATTTTGCAGACCTGTTGCTCATTGTTAACTCTTAATTGTTACCAAAAAGCAGTCGTAATAAAAACTAGCATAACCATAAGCCACACGATACAGTCAGAGATTCTTAAAAATCAAAGTGACATAAAAAATTATTGGTGTAAAAAAGAGTTGTCTTCCAATTTTAAAAAATGTGAAGATAATTGTGAATATTTGACCATCTAATCATTGTGATTAGATGGTCAAAGATCATTCCAAACACAGCCTCCAAGTCACTTGACATTGCTGCCATAAAAATATTTTAAAAATGTGTTTAAGAAAGGCAAGTAGCACTCCCATAATTTTTTTTATTATCGCATGATTACTATGCCATCACTTATCTTCTCTCCCCAGCCAAGAAACTTGTTTGGACAATTATTCTGTGGCTCATTAGATATGTTTGGAATTATGTGCATTGGCCTATACCGCCTAATGGATGAAGACGATGATCAAAAAGATGATCAAAAAAGGGGAGTATGCTAATTTGTAAAATTCTATACCTGCATCCACGTATAAAATATACTTTGAACAACATGAGAGAGAAACCCAGAATATAGGGTTCACAGTTGCAAGAATAATATAAGGAACATAAATAACAATGTCAGATCAGGCAATCATATGGCTAAAATTCAAATAACAAAGCAGTGATATCTTTATCAATGAAAATTATAAGGTAGACCCCCAAATAAAATGAGGTTCTTTTGTAACATTACTTATTCGTGACTATGCAAATTTTAAAAGCTAAAAAGTCATTATCCATTCTAGAAAGATTTTCTTATTTCCTGGTAATAAACTCAATGAGTTTATTGAGTATTTCTTTAGTCACTGTACCTTATTAATATAAATTATGGGGCATTTTTGTCCATATTTCTTCTTTAAAATGTTCAATATGATAGCAGCCGTTAAAATAGAGAAAGTTTATATAAAGAACAGGAAGGGAAGTGAGGGGTCAAGAGAAAGCATAGTAATGCAGGTTCAAACTAAGATTGTGACAATGAAAACAGACACTCCTTCAAGTGAAAGGGAGTAACTGAAAAATTATATGAAATTATAATAGTTTCACAAAACCTGTTCCAGAAAAACATAAAGGAAAGGCAAATAATCATTAAAAGTGAGAAGAGAAATACATTTCTTTGCTTGTGGGAGAAGGAAGGAAATGAATGCATGCCAAGAAAATATAGCCCCACATGAGAGGCATGCTTAAGGGAATTTTTATCTCGCACTAGGATTTCTCAGTAAAGTACAGGCATTTCCATCAAAGAGAAGAGACAGAGGAAGTATCAATAGAGGGTCTATTCAGAAAGAGGTAAAGGTTCAATTTAACAGATGAATTGAAAAGAGGTTTGTGTGGATTTGTAGAAGCAATACAAGACTGTGATCTGAAAGGACACAGGATCAGAAAGTCCTGGTGAAGTTAAGTATTCTTAGGATATTCTTAGAGTAAAGCAATGAGAGAAAAATCATGGGCAAACAAGATGAGATAGGTACTTATTGAATTGTAGGAAATAGGATATTTTGGTGGTCATAGAGATAGTTTAGGGATTAAGGCATTTGCTTTGCATGTAGCTGACACTACATTGATACCTTGCACTGTATATGCTTCCCCAAGCACCTGGTCACTGAGCCACAAGTTGTCCCCAAGGACTGCTGATTATGGCCTACCAACTCCTATAAAAAAAAAACGTTTAAGAAATGATAAATGAGGACATTTAAGAAAGTATACCTTCAAGTATATGTCTAGGAAGGTGACTAGTGAATAGAGTTCTGGATGGTAGAAAGAAAAGAAATGTCTGGATGTTGACATTCTGAATTTTACAGAACCGTAATCACCTAAAATAATGAAGCTCAAGCACAAGAAAAAAAACTAGGCCAAGTTCCAAGTTCTAAATAAGTAGGGGTTATGGTAGATGACATGTGTGAATCAAAAGAAAGGGTCCTGTAGCCGTAGAATGTTAACATAAAAGTGGTGTGTGATTGGAGTAATATTTTGGAAGCAGCACTTGGAAGCATGCTTCTATTTCCATCTTTCAGCATCTCTGAAAATCTTACGAATCATGGAACTTGGGAGAATGTATAGCTCATACCTGAGAGTGTCAGAAAATGAGATTGTATTTCTCTTTTAATAGTAGAATAAGATCACAATAAACTTTGTTTTTTGAAATTGATAGAAGTTGCAAGATGCTTAGTGAGAAAAATAAAAGTAGGAGTGTTCATTAAAGGTTAATAGTGAATTGATATGCTTAGGAAAGAAGAGATAATTTTTTGAATTAGCAATCAAGAAATATAGAATAAAAATCACGTAAGATTATCCCAATTCACTATTTTGACAAGATCATGCTTGTGTTGATGCAACTCACACTTATTGAGTATTTTCTTTGTTCCTGGAAACCACTTCACTCAATCTTTCTGTGGTTTTCCAACCCCAGATGGTCTGTAAGACTCATGCACATTCCCTATTTGTTTGCCACTCTTTTTGTTAATTAAAGAGAACTTTGTTTAGCTTCATTCCTTTACTTCTTTAACTGCACTATGTTCAGTGTGAAATTTGGTGGCATAATCATTATTTGTACGTAGGAAAAATACCTGGGTAGTGCATGAAAGCTTTGAGTTTTAAAAACTGTAGCTCAGCATTCTGCCAATTGAATCCATTAATGTTGTGGATATTAAAAAGCAGAGAGACTATTAAAGTTGAAAAAGGCATTATAAATAAGTCTAAAACAGTTCTTTCCTTAGCCTATCAAAATGCTGAGAAAAGCAAGACCCAGAGAGGTATATGCCCTGCCTGAGACCAGAGACAATTGGTCTTTGAGTCAGAGATCAGTTCCTTTTCCTAATGGCTTGTCTAGGGCCTCTCATACTGACCACTACTTAGAAACTAACAAATTGAAACAACAACAAAAAAGTTTATTTTCATACTCCCCCCAACTCCTCCCCACACACAATGGTTTCCTTATTCATGCCTTTGCCCACCACTGTCCCAGCCAAAATACTCTGAAGTAATCTTTGAATTTTCTTGCAGGTTTGTGATCACCCGACCCCCCAACGACTTTAGTCTGCTACCTTCGGATTTTGTGTTCTGTGCCATTCCTTTCAGTGTTGCCACAAAGAAGCAACAAGACTCTGCTAGTCTATATGAATATCCAAGTTCAATAGCAAAATCAGTAGACTTGGAAAATCCATATTCCAGAATGACTTTCATTGAGGGTAGGACATACTCCATGCCGAATATAAAACCCAATTCTTCATTTTAAAGTAAAAGTAAGTAATTCGAAATCAGGATGGTGAACTATAATCCCAGACACATATAGGTGAACAAGGGAAAGAAAGTGGAGAGCAAACCTAGAAAAAATTTGCTTTGAGTATCAAAGTCACACTTGACTTGTTGATATACTCATAAACTCCTAGTTCTTTATTTAAAAGTCATCTCCAGAGATAATGACTTTGTAGCAGGAAAACAAAACAAAGTCATGCCCCTCTTTGTGACTGTTGCTTAGTGTTTGATCAGCAACTCTGTGCTCTTCAGATAGAGATGAAGCTCTGATCTTAGCACACTGTATCTGGTGTAACAAAGAAATATGAAAATGTATCTGTGAAGAATATTAATTTCTCTGTGTCATTTGAGCACAAAACATAAAATAAAATTGTGTTAGATAAGCCCTTCAGTAATTTTTACTTCTTCCAGTCATAAGCTATAAGACATCAAGATAAAAATTAAAAAGACTTGGACACAGAAAACACAAAATAAAGTTCCTTAAATCTAAGAGCTTACTTTCTTTATTCTCAAATAGGCAAGGTACACACTAGTTAGCTATGACATTATCTACTTTTGTTTTCAGGCTGTCTTGTCTACGTCCCTCTCTGTTTATAAAAGGTGAGAAAGACCAGTTAGAGAAATAGTGGTTTGCATTTATAACCAAGAATTTATGTATAACCAAGAACCGAGATAGATTCCTAACATGAGAATGAATGCTAGAGTAAAGGAATTAAGTACGTGGGGTGAAGCAACAAAAAAATGATTTCCTCTGGTAGATTGAAATGTGGGCTGGAGCGATAGATAGCACAGTGGGTAAGGCATTTGCTTTGCCCACAGATGACCCAGGTTCGATTCCTCCATCTCTCTCGGAGAGCCCGGCAAGCTACTGAGAGTATCCTGCCCGCACAGCAGAGTCTGGCAAACTCCCCATGGCGTATTTGATATGCCAAAAACAGTAACAACAAGTCTCACAATAGAGACGTCACCGGTGCCCATTCAAGCAAATCAATGAACAACAGGAAGACAGTGCTACAGTGGCAGATTAAAATGTATAACTTCCCAAATTCTCTAATTCAAGAGTAAAGATGTAAAAAAAATAGAAATATTTAAGACAGTGCTACAGTGGCAGATTAAAATGTATAACTTCCCAAATTCTCTAATTCAAGAGTAAAGATGTAAAAAAAAAATAGAAATATTTCCTCGTGATCCAAGAACCTTATATTCAATTAAGGCATTTCACCCAAGTAACCAATTTTTATCTAGGTTAATTTAACAAAAAAAGGGGGGGGGGTAAATACAAGTTCAGTTTATATAATTGGTGGTCTTATTATGATGAGCATTGTAAGTGAATCTTCCTTTCTTTTATTATTTTCTTTTTGGTAGAAAACCTACCCCCAGCTAGTATCCCTTGGTTCTTGGTTCAGTAGCTCTAGGGATCACCAGAGTCACTCCACTGATGCTCAGGAGCCACCAGAGTTGCGCCCATTAGTACTTAGTACTGGCTGGGCTATACACTGCTGAGTATTGAACTCAGGTGCAGAATACACATCCTAATGCTTTAAATTCCCTAGCCCCAGCAATTTCTTCTTTGGTGATAGACAATAGCATAGTGGAAGGAAGAAAACAGAATATAAGCCAGAGTTCTCAAAAATTATTTTTTATAAACAATATTCTTAATATTTTTAACACCTGTCTGATTTGGTCTTTTACTAGGAATACTATGTTACAAATAGTGTTAACAGACATAAATATAACTCAATCGGGAGGAGATCCAGGTAAATTTAAATTTTAGATAGGCAATCAATAAATTTTCATCCCTTGTGTCTAAATTATTTTGCTCAGTGACAAAATTCACATCTGAGCCTCACTTGATGGTAGTACTGTAGCACTGTCCTCCCGTTGCTCATCAATTTGCTCGAGCGGGCACCTGTAACATCACTGTGAGACTTGTTGTTACTGTTTTTGGCATAATGAATATGTCATGAGGAGCTTGCCAGGCTCTGCCATGTGGGTGGGATACTCTCGGTAGCTTGACGGGCTCTCCAAGAGGGGTGGAGGAATCGCAAGACAAATGCTCTACCCACTGTGCTATCGCTCTAGCCTGACTCCATTCCTATCATAAACTCCATCTATGGCTGAATACCAGCACGAGACCAATAATCAACAATTATCTTAAGGGAAATTTGTAAAGAACTTTGAGAAGAGAGTTGAAGAAGTCCTTCTGATCGAGGCCCAGTCCATGGATGGTGTGAGGCCGGTCGTGACCCCCAGCACACCGGGCCTTGGTCTTCCCAGAGTCAGATTGCTTGGGAATGCAGCCTAAAGTGGGTGGTAGACCTGATGGTAGCACTTATAAACATCAAATGGCTGAAGCATATGTTTTGCATTTGGAAGCTTTGGGTCACTCCCTGGCACTATGGGGCCTGTTGAGCACCACTGACAAGTCCACCCACTTCTGCCTTGCAATTTGTCATGCATAACCCCCAAGCACCATTAGGTGTGGTCCAAAGGAAAAAATAAGAAAGGTATTGTAAGGGAAATTGTGAGACACCATAACATTTCTGTTGAAAGCTCATCTAAACCACCTTCATCCTGCTCTTTTTATGCGTACTTGCTTTGTTTTTTAAGATACCTAACAAAATACACTTTGCAACACTTATAAATTGATAAGTAGTATATCTAAGACTTAACTCTGTGTTTCTAAATCTTAAATTACAAGTTCATTTTTTGAAGGGGGAGGGCCACACCCAGCAATGCTTGGAGCATGTTTCTGCGCTCAAAGATCACTCTTTACATGGCTTAGGGCACTGAACCTGGCAGTCCACCTGCAAAGACAGCACTTTACCCACTGTATTATACCCAAACCCCTTTAATCCCAATTTCTAAAAAAAAGTGCATAGAGCATGCCAAGTTTTAGTTACTTTAAAGCTAATTTAAAGCTGAAGAACAGGTGTCTCTGAGTGGGAAGGAAGAATATGTAATGTTCTTCCAAAGACTCACCAACACATGTTCATTGAAAAGACACACATCATTCCTACTTTCCAACCCTAAAACAAGTTCATGAATATTGTAGGTTTTCTAAAACAATATTCCTGGGAAAGTGCAGATTAGCACTATGGTACTGTAAACCTATGGAAAAACTGCTGGAAACAATTACTATATAGATGTGCAATTAGTTTCCCAAGTTAAAGCTTATCCCACATATGATCAAGCTTATAACTCAGCAATGGATTTTGAATGCTTTTATGTTTCAGTTTTTAAGGAACTGGGTACCAGAAATAAGACTAAAGAAATATTGAGAGATATTCAAGTAGAGCAAAATTAGGGTGAGAGATATTCAAGTATAGCCAAATTAGGGTGATTCATATCTTAAATTGATAAATAAAATTAGCATAGTACTCCTACACTCATGTGCAAACAATTTCATAAGTCCATAACTGAACCATTCACCCATAGAGAACATTTTAATACAAGTGTAAACATTTTGCAAATATAGTACAGATCTCAATTCATATAGTATAGATCTCAATTCATATAGTATTGATCTCAATTGACATGGATAATTCAACCCTTAATAATAGATGAATGATATTTAAAAACCAGTTCATAAAAAGTATTTGAGCGAATAGCTTTAAAGATTTTTGCCATTTTAGGAGGCTTGGGTGATAGCACATTTCCCTTGCACACAGAAGACCTGGGTTCAATTCCCAGCATCCCATATGGTCCCCTGAGCACTGCCAGGGGTAATTCCTGAGTGCAGAGCCAGGAGCAATCCCTGTGCATCGCCAGGTGTGATGCAAAAAAAAATGTTTTTGCTATTTTAAAAATGAGATCAAAGGTATTGCCTTCATCTATATATATCAATATGTTCATATGTTTTTAGAAATTCATTATATTCATCGGAGGATGGTCAGGTATTATACTATACTCTACCCATTATCTTTCTGAATTTCTAATATAGGCCTCAAATACCTTTTATCGAGATCACTAGTAAGATGATAGGACCAGAGAGGTTAGAAAATGATTATTTTAAAGATCTCAAATATTTTGTGATCTTGAATAGCTTATTACCTTCAGAATATAAAATAAAGATGGCTTATTTGAATAAAATCTGTAATGTAACATTTTTCACTCATAATCTTTAGATTAGAAAAATAAAGAATATGCTACAATTAAGTGAAAAATTACGTCCCCTACCTCTAAAAACTTTGAATGTTTTTACTCTTCATTTCTTAATGTTAAAGAAAACTTGAAGTCAAATGACATGAATGAGGGCATAAAGTATCTTTATAAAATAAATAAAAATAAATAAAATAAAATTTGTTGCAACTACTCTCCTTGTCTATTTTACTTTTTGTAAAAAAAAATATAAACTTTAGTGAGAAGATTTTAAATATCAATTCTATCTCCATTCATTGAATACATGTCCACTCACCATCAGACACTGTATGCTGATGATAAAACTATTACTAAGAACAAAATTGCTTCAACATGTAGCATAAGCTCTCTTCGGAAGAGGCAGAAAAGTTGCAATTAAACAAAAGATATAGATTGCATTAGATACTGTGAGTAAAATAAACATGTTGATGTGATAGATAATATGATATTCAGGGACAATTGAAAGATTCATTGGAAAAATAATTTAGGAAAGGAAATGAGGCATGTTCTAGAAAAAAAAGAACAGCTAGTGTGGATAGAGCACAGCTAACACACAAGAAGAGATAAATGAGGTGCAATGAAAAAACAGAAAGTACCTGTAAAGAGAAAGAGAAGTCCAAGAGAAACAGACTACATTTTATTCCACATGGAATAAAAACCTCTTTCATAATTACAAATAAGAGAATGGTATTTTTGTCATTTACATTTACCAGGAAAACTTGGAAGTTAGTTTTCAGCAGTATGATTAATTGAGTTAAAATTGATTTTATTCCTTCCATAAACACACTAAAATGTCAAGTAAATTGTAATAAAAATATTAAAATATGGGAGATTTCTATTAAAATTTTTGTAAAATCCATTGGGAATCAAGAGGATGGTCTGGCCCACCATTGCCATGCCACCGGACTTCATCCCAGGCTGTTTCACTCAAGGTGCTCCAGATGGGGGGTGGGTCCCATCCACCCGGCACCCGCCACCACCCTACCCCTACACGCCCTGCCCCAAGGGACCCAGCCCAGCAGCCGAAAACCTCCAGAATCCAATCACCAGCACACTCAAGGTTGCTCCCCACACACTTGGACCACTTGGACCCAGTCTCATATAGGAGTTAGCATATTCCTGGGCCACATGGCTGCAAATCATCAGACACTCCCTGGCCATTCTCCATAAGTACCATACCACATTTGATGGGGTTCAAATAATAGGCAATAAATCATAGAGGGAAATATATATTTGCATATATATATACATATCTTCAGATATATATAGAAAAGCTCACATCACTCAACCTTTGTCAACATGTTAGTGATATCCTAAGAATGACTTTTTTTTTTTTTTGCTTTTTCGGTTATCCCCGGAAATACTCAGGGGTTACTCCTGGCTCTGCACTCAAGAATCACTCCTGGTACTATGTAGCTGTTAGAAAAGATGAAGTCATGAAATTGACATACAAGTGGTACAACATGGAAAGTATCATGTTAAGCGAAATGAGTCAGAAAGAGAGGGATAGACATGGAAAGATTGCATTCATCTGGGGAACATAAAGTAACAAAATAGGAGACTAACACCCGAGTGGCCGAGATTAGTACCAGGAGGCTTGCTCCATGGCTTGGAGGCCAGCCACACATGCTAGGGGAAAAGGGAGCTCAGATAGAGAAGGGAGCACCAAATAAAGGATGTTGGGAGGATTCGCCCAGGATGGAAGAAGCATGCTGAAAGTAGACTATAGACCGAATTTGATTGCCACTCAATGCCTCTTTTGCAAACAAGAGCACCCAAAGGAGAGAGAGAACAAAAGGGAATGCCCTGCCACAGAGGCAGGGTGGGATGGGGGGATGAGGGGTGGGTGGGATGCTGGGACATGTGGTGGTGGAAAATGGGCACTGGTGGAGGGATGGGTACTTAATCATTGTATAATTGAAACCCAAGCACAAAAATTTGTAAGTCTACAACTGTACTTCATGGTGTTTCACTAATTTAAAAAAATCACTCCTGGAGGTGCTCAGGGGACCAGAGGGGATGCTGGGAACCGAACCGAGGTCGGCTGCATGCAAGGCAAACACCCTACCCACTGTACTCTCACTCCATTTCCCTAAAGAATGTCTTAATATCCCCTGCCAAAATAGAACAATATTCACACTGCTTCCTCTATGGATACTTTTTTGTAGCATTTTCAGTGGCCTTTCATAACAGATAATACAAAATATATTATTTTGGTTATGCTTTGGGGCAGCGATTGGGACTTTGAATGGAAACATCCCAAATTTGGTTGTGGGAAGGTGTAATGGTGGTGGGATTGGTGTTTGAAAATTAATTGTAATCAAATATTGTGAACTACCTTATACATCTTTTAAACAAAATTTAAAAAGAGGAAAGTCCGTGAGTACGCACAAAGTCTACAACTATTTAACAGTAGTCAGATTTAAAATTTTATGTAGAATTAAAAATACACAAATGTCAACTAATAATTTAACAATCAAATGGGAAGGGCCCATTTGATAGTTAAATGGTTCTTACACAATGGGAAGAATTATTTGTGTAAGGGGCAATAAATAAATTCTATCTGTTGACAAGAAATACAAGACCATAAGCCAATATTTTTTAGTCTTTCTACACTGTGAAACAGCACCAGTCTCTGGAACCTTGGTTGAAGACCACTGTGTTAGATTGTTTTATACCTTTCTTTTTTATTGATGTGCACATGTATTGCCATGAAATCATTAACATAACATAAAATTTTGCTTTTGGCAAAAATGCATCTGTACTGTGGATTAAACTACAGCGCCCTGCCACCCCGGGAGGGGAAGGGTGTTTGTCCCTCTGCCTTTTCCCTCTGGCAGTGGTGACATGGTAGCCACCATGTTTCAGAGCCTAATTAAAAGCCAGGTATGAGACTACAGTGACAAGGCATGCATGGCCTCATGGGATGTGGGGTAGAACCGGCCCTGCTCCCTGCCTTGACAAGGCCCCGAGTTGCCACCCACAAATGCCTCCTCCAGCTCCTGAATGACCATGATCCCAGAGGCACACAAACCAATCTCAGAACCCAGTGGCTTTTGTCAGTAATCCCTCCAGATTTACTACTAGAATATCAGAAATCCAAAATTGCATGGCCGCAAATAGCGCTGCATGACATTATATGCTCTTCATAATCAGCAATAGAAA